CCTCCTTTGCTCCAGGATGAGCCCCCCCAGCTCCCTCAGCTGCCCCTCGTGCAGTGTAAGTCCGTGCAGTGCTGAAGGGGTGGTGCCAGGGCTGTTTGACTCCCAGCTGTGCCCTTTTGCAGTCCCTGGTGCTCGTGTCCCGCCTGCCCTACGTGAACCTGTTCCAGTCCCTGCTCCAGCTCATTGCCCCAGAGTACTTCGACAAGCTGGAGCCGTGCCTGGAGGCAGGTGAGCAGGGAGGGCTGGGAGGGAGGGTTTGCAGCCTGAAATCCTGCGGGGGTTTGATCAGGAGGTTCCGGAAAAAACAGTTGAAATGTTCCAGCTCGGTTCGTTCTGTAACAAATTCCAGCAGGGAAGAACTTTTCATCCGCTTGTCCAAATGACAACCAGCTGTAAAGGAGGCATGGATGGGAAGGGGGGGGGATGGGGCTGTCAGTGTGTTCCCAGAGACAGGAAGAACTGCTGCTGCTGCATCTCTGGCAGCTCTTTATTGCCTTGTTCAGCTTGATCCTGGTTTGTTAACACCGTGGTGCTGCTGTGGGAATGAGGGTGCTTTGCCATGAGTCAGGGGGACTTGTGGGCTGGGAACAGGCAGTGATGCAGTGCCAGAACTCCCAGGAGCAGCGGGACGAGCTGGGTCTTCCTCCAGGTGACACCTTTCCCTTGTCCTGTGTCCCTCAGTGTGCAACGAGATCGACCAGTGGCCTCCTCCTGTGCCAGGCCAGACCCTGAACCTGCCCGTGATGGGAGTTGTCATCCAGGTACCTGTGGCAGAGTGGGAAGGGGAATCTGTGTTCCTTCATTCTGGTTGCTAAAAGAGGTGTTCACCCCAGATCCTTCCCCTTTGGTCCCAACCTTTTCAGTCCCCACAGCTGGAGTTGGGGATGAGGAAGTTTTCTCTCGTGGGGGGTTGTAGGGAAGGGAAGTGTGTGATGCTGATCCCATCTCCAGGGGTGACCTCTGCTCTGTGTGTGATCCAGGTGAGGATCCCATCCAGGGTGGATAAACCAGGATCAAGCCCAGTGAAGCAGTTCAATCAAGAGGTGAGTTAAGCCTGGCCCGGGCCAGTGGTGAGCAGAGCCTGGACCACTGAGGGAGGAGGGTGGGAAGAGCTGGAGCTCTTAAGTCCTGTTTGAAAAGCCTGGGATCAGTGTGGGCTCAGTCACCCACGTGGTTAAACTTCAGGCTCTCGTGTCTGGGAGTCAAACAGTGCTCTCAGCACAGTCTGTGTGCTCTGAGTTGTTGTTCCCCTTGCTTGTCCTGGGAATTCAGGCCCAAGGAGGTCTCCTGCCTTCATCTTCTGAGCTGTGGTGCAGCCTTTGTCCTCTGAGCAGCTTCACCGCTTTGGTTCAGCTTTGATTTCAGTTCTTGTCGTGTCATTGTTCCCCTTTTCTCTCCTTTGGCTGGTGTTGGTTTGGGGCCCACGTTTCTAACCCTTACTGGCTCTGTATCCCAAGCTCTGTCTTTCCCCAGAGGAGCCTCTGGAAAACAAAGGAGCAGACCTGGGCAGCCTTTCACATCTTGAAGGGAAGGGATTTTTGTCAGTTTATAGGCAAGGAACTTAATTTGGACCTTGAACGTTCAATCCAGACCTGTTCCTGCTCACCCCTCTGAGTGTTCACCTTGTTCTCTTCTTTCTGTGTTGCTTTGTGGTTGCTAGTTCAGTTTGGATGGAATTCCAGTCAGGATGCTTCCATTTCCTGACAGCTTTACTAACATTTACTAACAGGCTTTTCTGCCTTCCTCCTTCAGAATCTGTTACCAGCCCCACTGGTTCTCCCCAGTGTCCATGAGCTGGACCTGTTCAGGTGAGAGCCACCATTTCAACCCTCTCCCCTCCACCTGAATCCCCTCTTCCTGCTCAGAGTGTCCCAGAAATCACAGGGATGATGCAGAATCAAAAAGGACTCTCAGTGAGGAAAGGCTGAGAGAAC